GGAGGCTGGCAGTGCCAGGCTGGCAGGGAGGCGGCCCTGCCTGCCAGTGCTCCTCCCCCAGGGCCTGAGTGTCCAGAGACTCTGCCCCTCCCAGCCCAGCCTGGGTCCCAGGCCTGAATGCCTGCGGCTGAGCTGCACGGACAGAGGCCGTCTTCACAGGACCAACAATGGGCTCCAGCCCAGCCGGCCAGGGACAAAGAGCTGTCTGAGTGGCCAGCAGGGGCTCGTGTCCCTGGAAGGAGCCAGGAGGAGCTGTGGACTTGCACAGTCTGGGAGTGGCAGGGGTGGATATGACATTTGTTCCTGTCCTGGGCACCCTTAAGATCAAGGTCAGGAGGGAATTGGGAGGAGACAGTGCAGGGGACCAGGTGGGGAGAGTGTCTGGGAGATGCTAGGCCAGGCCCTAGAGCAGGGGCAGGAAGCCTCAGGGTGGTCAGGGTTTGGTGCCATGACGCGGACAGCCAGGAGCTCAGTCTGCCTGGGCCCTGGGGGCCCTGCTAGCTCCTCTACCAGGAAGCCTGCTTCGCCCCACCCCAACTTCCCTGTGTATCCGCTTGCCCCTGGCAGTCTCTGTCCTCGCCAGGCCATGGGCTGGGGTGGAGACGGTGGGAGTTCTGGGAGTTCTGACTCAGCTCTGAGCCTCGGCCGGTGGCAGGGCCAGGCCAGGGTCACCGCACAGGCCCAGAGTGGAGGGAGGACTAATTCTGTCTGAATTGAATGCCCTTGGCACCAGGCAGGACTCCCTCCACGTCTCCACCCCCAGGGCCCAGAGACAGCCCCTGACAGCAGCTGACAGGGTCTGGGTCCCAGGGAAATCATGTCCCAGTTTATTAAGTGACTAATTATTGCTGGAAATGGGGACACACAATTTCACCAGATCCAGGTCTCCCCTCCACCAATGGAGAGCCCAGTGGGCGCTGGCTGCTCACACCCTGCCCCTGGTACAGGTGAGGTGCTAGCGCTCGGGAGGCGGGAGCGCCCCTGAGCTGGCTGCTGCCTGCCCCACTGCTCCTCTGCCCTGACCCTCCTGTCTGACTTTGACCCACCATGGGGTTACAGCACCATGGGCCTGCTTGGTCTGCTGGGGGCTCCTGGCATCTGATGCTAGGGGTGCCCATGGTACAGTGAGGCTCTTCCAGGCAGGATCCTTTCACCACTGCCCCGCATCCCAGGCAACCGAGGCCTCGCCGGGTTCTCATGGAGGGGAGACCAAGATGGGTCTTCAGCTTGTAGGGTGGGGAGGGTGAGAGGCTGAGGCCAGGCTGGGGACATGGGCCTCTCGGTGCCTACAGCACCAGCTCCTCACAGACAGCTAAGGTAGCCTGGAGGTGGAAGTGGAGGGCGGCCACAGCCCTGCTGCTCCAGGTGGCTCAGTACCCCAAGGCTGAGAGAGCTCTGGACCACTGGCCTGCACTGACTGGGGGTCGCCTGGCTGATCCTCAAATGAACCCTTGACTGGATGTGGTGGGGGAGGAGGTGATGTCCTCTGAGGTGGGGTCTTGGGGGATGGCAGGTCTGGGGCAGGTCAGAGGGGTCTGGGCTCCAGTGGGACCAGGGAGCCCCTGGTGGCTGGGGTAGCACGTGTGGATGAGATGAGGCTCCAGGGAGGGGAGGGGAGGAGAGAGTGGAGGAGCAGAGAAGGGAAAGGACGGAGGGCCCAGGGGAGTGAGGCTCCTGGTCATAACTGGGGAATGTGACATGCCTGTCCCCTCTGGCCACTGACCTGCCACCTGTCCTGCAGCACGTGGTCATCCCTACCCGGCGGGCCACCGCAGTGGCCTTACAGAGCTTCACCTCCCACCTGCTGGGGGACGCTGGGAGCCCCTATCTCATCGGCTTTGTGAGTGGTCCAGGGCGGGGCTGGCCTGGGAGGCTGGGAGGGGAGTGGAGCTCAGGAGGTAGCCCTGGCCTGACGCCCATCCCGGTCCTCGCAGATCTCAGACCTGATCCGCCAGAGCACCAAGGACTCCCCGCTCTGGGAGTTCCTGAGCCTGGGCTACGCCCTCATGCTCTGCCCCTTCGTCGTGGTCCTGGGGGGCATGTTCTTCCTGGCCACCGCCCTCTTCTTCCTCGGCGACCGCGCCAAGGCTGAGCAGCAGTGAGTGGGGGCGGGTGGGCCACCTTGCTGTGAAGCAGGGACCAACAGCCCTGAGCCCTCGCCCTGGGGTGGTGGGAGGGTTCAGTGACCAACTCTGTGCCCTGGGGTGGGGGGGCCACCTGGCTGCTGGGGCCCAGGGCTCGGCCCCACTGCACCCCAGCACCAGACCTCTGAGCTTCCGGGTGGTGAGCTTCTGCCGTGCACCCACTGGTGGCTGCGAGCTGTGCGGGGCCGTGGTGGTCCGGCCCGGTGGGGCTGGCCCAGATGTGGGGCTTCCTCTGGGGTTAGTGGTTTCGGAGCTGGGCCCCTGCCCCTTCCTTGCCCTCTCATTTTCTGACTTCTTTCTCCTCTCCTCTTTACTCCTCTCTCTCCTCTCTCCCCACCTCTGGGCTCTCCCACCTCCCCCTGGGGCTGACGAGGTCCCTGCCCAGCACCTCCGGTCCGCCGGCCCCCGCGACGCCATGTGCCAGAGCAGTGCCTGGGCCCGGCCCCCGCTGACGCGCCACCCTGACCCCCGCCCCTCTCTCCCCCAGGGTGAACCAGCTAGTGATGCCGCCCGCATCCCTGAAAGTCTGAGGTGGTGAGTGAGGCCAGGGAGGCCCCGTGAAGCTGGCGGGGCTGAGGGCTCCTGATGTCTGATGCTAGGGCAAGGCCAGTGAGGGGACAGGGGGCTCTCCTCCTGA